TCCAGCCTGCAAGCTTTGCCTTTGCAAAGTTTAAGCCTGGAAGCCCCGGAAAAAAAAGGGGGGATCGGCAGGGACTCACCTTCGGAGAGGTCGCACTCGAAGGTGATTTCGAACTCCCAGCCGAGGCCTTTGCAAATTTCTTTTCTTTCCTACCCCTAGATCGCTCCGCACTGTTTTGCAGCTTTGGGGGCCACGCGGCACAGGGCAATTACGCCACGCCCAGCGATTTTTTTTCAGGGGCGGGCCGGATTGGACGGACCAATGGCAGCGATTTTTTTTCAGGGGCGGGCCGCACTGGACAGACCAACGGGCCGGATGTGGCCCGCGGGCCGTAGTTTGCCCACCCCTGCTTTACAGTGTCAAATATGTAACTATTTGCCTCTTGGTGACTCTTCTTGATCTTGAGACTACAGCAGCTGAGATAAGGATGCTCAGACAACCAGATAGATTAGATGAGATTTATGGGATGTGATAAACTTTGTCCTGCTCTTACAATGGCAATCCCTTGTTGTCAGGGAGAAGGAGGGCTTTAGAGAAGGAGGGTATCATTTCAAGGATAAACAAGATATCCCTGTAGAAAGGGGCTCAATTCTTGGGTGATGTATCCATATCCTCTCATTTCATAGATATTCCTCTGGGGCGAGTGGAGGTTACTTCTTTATCAATTATTTGATCATTAGATACAAAAACAAATGTCGACCTCAGAGTAACCTATCTGATGTGAAGGCAAGGAAAGAAATCACAATGACAGTACCATGCAGCTATTGAGTGAGTCTGCAAAAGCAATGAAAAAGGCAAATTTCATTCTAGGAATTCATTAGGAGGGGGCTGAAAATAAAAATGCTAAAGTCTATTCTAAATTCTAAACAAAACTATAATATATTGTTTTAGCTCTGACTGCTACACTTGGAAAAGCATTTAATAAAGCTGGAAAAAAACAGAAGAGAGCAACCAAGTGATTATAGGCTTCAATCAATCAGAACAGAGCTGGAAGAGACATGGGAGGTCTTCACATAAACCATTTCAGACAAGTGACTTGTCCAGTCTCTTCTTAAAAGCCTCCAGGGATTTTTAAGAAGAGACTGGACAAGCCACTTGTCTGAAATGGTTTAGGGTCTCCTGCTTGAGCAGGGGATGGACTAGAATATCTCCCACGTCTCTTCCAGCTTTGTTCTTAAACACCTCTACTTGAAAAGGCTAAAATGCTTTCAATTCTTTGCATGTCTGAAGAGTTTATAATCAGGTACAGCATGATTTCTAGAACCGCTAAAGCTATGGGTCTGCACTGGAAGAGAAGGGAAAAAAACCACTTAAGGATAATATAAGTCAGGGGTCCCCAACCACCGGTCCGCGGACCGGTACCGGTCCGTGGAACAAGTCCTACCGGGCCGCTGGTTTGCTGGGCGCTGCCATCTTTTTTGATGAAAAAGTGCTTCCGGTGAGCTTTTCCGGGTAGAAAGCTCACCGGAAGCACTTTTTCATCAAAAAAAGATGGCGGCGCCCAGCTAATGCCGGTACCGGGCCGCGCCATAAAAAAGGTTGGGGATACCGGGCCGCGGCATAAGAAAGGTTGGGGATCACTGATATAAGTCACTAATGTGGGTAGCTTTAAAAATGGAAATTGGATAAATTGAGGGATTAGAATGGTTTATAATTAACAAATAAATAGGGAAAGGTTTATCAAGCATTATTGGTCTTGAGGATTCAATATCGTCTCCATGTTGGGAACAGGACACTTCCAAATAAAACCTCTAAGGGAAAATGGTGGGAAAGGGATATGCCTTCATCTTTTGCTTGCAGCATCCTATTGGCATCTAGCTGACCAACATGAGAAATTTAAAAAAAAATGATTAACTCGGTTTGATTTAGCATAGTTGTTCTTCTGCTCTCATGCAGAAATGAGTATAATTAAAGAAATAAAACTAGATTATTCCTTCTTTACAATGAATGTTTTTTTAAAAAACATTTAGGAAGTATTGCATAAAATAAAGCAGAAGGCACTAACATAAAGCACTTGGTCTCCCACTACTTCCATATTGGGTTATACAAAGTTGAATATATATGACTACTTACCCGGGCATGGAAGGATGTTGCATTCTTGGTATTCCAAGGGAGGTCCCAGGCAAGGCAATCCCCCATACTTTGGCTCAGGATTATTGCAAATTCGTTTGCGGTTCCGAATACCTCTGTTGCAGTCACGACTACACTGAGCCCATGGAGACCAGGGGGACCAAGCACCATTGATAGTGTGAGTGGAGCGATGCCCAGAATGCAAAAGATCGCCTAAGAATACAAATATAAACAGGATAAAATTTTTTACCACAGCAGTAATCTGCAAATGTATTGATAACTTTGCTCTAATTTAATTTGCATCTGACTGAGTAACTTTTAACACTTATGAAGTACTCTGTCATATGGATTATAATATGGTATCAAAGACTGACAGTTATACTTCATAGGAATCTGTGTAAGTGTAAAAATAACACTGGCCAGTGAACCATGAAACTCCAATTCCCAAAGCAATTTAATCAGGCCCTTAGTGGCTTTACCAAAGTGGACACTCCACTTTTGAAGGTTATAAGTCATTTTGAAGTCTGGCTATACCTCATAATAGAAAAAAAAACTTTACTATCAACCTGATCCAACTTTATCATGTAGTCTGACACTGCCAGACTAATGGCTACTGGTTGGAAAAAAGAGTGGTTTTTAAACAGACTTCAGTTGGTCTTTCCTGTGTAGATCTGTCTTGAATATATAATTTGTAACAAATGTGGATTGTCCATATTTAAAATGTGGTAGACTTCAGAAAGATTGGCAAAGTAAAGAAGTCTCATGAAGAAGAGTGAATTCATAAAACAGATTTTAATAATATTAATTTAATTGCACTGAAACAGGTTAATGTTAAAGATTAAAATGGTTGTTTTTAAAGCATAATGAGCTAAGTAAAAAGTAAAATAGACAAGTAAAATTTAAAAGCCATTGCTTTTTATCAAAATGACTCTGTTCCATCAGGTGTAGAATACACAACAAATACGGGTATCTGTTGTAGCATATACTTTCTGTAAGAACACAATGACCAGGATGAATTATGTATAACTGCATTTACAATGAATGCTGTGACTTTTAAATCTAGGGTATTTGTGATGTTTGCTTTTCTGCTACATGTTTTTATCCATGACTTAAGAAAAGTGAACTGTGGTTTAGAACACATTTATTTTTGTTTGTACTGCAAATGCATTTCAATTGATCACAACACAAAGGTTTTTTTTAAGGATGAGACAGAAGTGCAATAAAACTCTTGGCAGCCATATTAATTTTGAGTCTTTGTAAGAAGTAAACAAATGAACAATGCCAATTCCAGATGGAATGGCTACAAAGAAAACTGCACATGTAGAGACATTTTCACCCATTACTCTTCAAAACAAGTAACCAACTTCATTAAAAGCCTTTTCACCACTCCTTTTAGTTTTTAAATTACTTTATAGCCAAATTCTAGGCATGCTTGTTTAGATAAAATCTGGTGTGTTCTCATTAATTCCCAATAAGTATGGTGGCAGCCTTATTATTTTGTCAAAAAAAATCTGCATTTCCTCTTGCTGAAATAATTAGGGACCTCCAATTGCTGGGATCCCTCATCAATTTAAGAAAGATATCTAATAGCAACCTGTGTATTCAGAGTCTACAACACTGAAAACAATGTGCAGAAGAAGAACAAGATTAAAGTACAAAGTGGAAACATATTTTGGGGAGGGGAGAAACCCCGCTAGGCAGGAGATGGGACTGGCCTAACCATTATAGAACACGCCATGTTAATTCTAGAACAGGGGTCCCCAAACTTGGCAACTGTTAAGACTTGTGGATTTCAACTCCCAGAATTCTGGGAGTTGAAGTCCATAAGTCTTAACGTTGCCAAGTTTGGAGACCTCTGTTCTAGAGCATGGGGAAAGGAAATAAAGATATTCTGGAATGGGGCACTGTATGCCGAGCGGCTATCTGAACAGAAGAAGCATTCTCATAATTCCTTGTAGTTTCCCTATATGCAGTTACAGTTCGTAGCACCTAAACAGCATCCAAACCAGTTCAAAAGCACCATCTCAATCATCCTTACAATAACTCTACAAGGTGGATCCTCCGTACTTGGCAAATGTAGTATTTATACAGAAAAGCTTTCTGAAAGGGAAAAGTGAGCTTTAAATCTGATATTTCTTGCCTCAGTATTTTAGTTAGATGCTAGCTCTTTTCTGTTTTTATCTTTATCCTCAAGACTATTCAATTTACAATAATAATTGCGAGAGTTGCAATTACCAGGTCCTTTTTAATTAGAGCAACACAAAGTCAACAGAGACAACGATTAAAAGCCTTCAAGTGCTTGAGATTCTGCCAAACAAAGGTTACTATTGTTGTCTCCTGGCCCAGAATCAAGAGTCAAAGATGAGACGAGTTATAACAATTTGTGTTTAGGTGCAGCATTAGGAATGTTAAAATAGTCACAATGGAACCAAAACAGAAGAGCTATTCTACAAGATGTAAAAAATGAGGCACACAGGCCATGTTAAAGGAAGTTTTAATTACAAAATCCTTGCTGCAGGGAGGATGGTAGAAGACATCGTCCTGCTGGCATTTCAAATGAGCTGCTGCAGGCTATAAAGTTTTATTTCCCAGACTCAGGCCTGTATACAACTCTGTACAGCTGGAAGAGAATCAGAAAGAGCAAGGCAAGTGAGGAGATGTGGGAGGGGATATGTACACAGACATCAAGATTCTCTTGTTTGTTTCAACTACCAGTTTTCAATTGCACACACAAAAAAAAAAAACCATGCCAGAGATTTGGTTAATTTCAGGATCTGAGTTGGTTGAATGGCAGACATGGCTGAAATCTGGCTAGAACTTACCTAACAACTTTCACTTTACTTCCAACTGCAGGACAATTGAGAGAATACATTCAAGAGAGCGAAATCTTACAGTGAAGAATCAACCAGAAGGTGCAATGGGGGTTAACTCTCCCACTGTCCCTGCCTCAGCCATTGTCCTTAGAAGAAATATTTGCAAGGACAAAAACACAAATATTCCACATCCGTATGTTAGTTAAGTGCAGAATAGGAGCACAAAGATCCAGATTCTAGGTTTTCCTTAGCCAGGAATCCACCTGAATAATCTCAGGCCAGTCACATCTTCTTGGTACTAATAATGGTCAGACTCTGTGATGTTGGGTGATAAACAAACCCCCTTGTCAAATCATGGATTGATAGCTTTGCTGCAAGAGCTAGGAGAGTATTAAAAGAAGCACATCCCCCAGCATGCAGGGCAAATGAGAAGGAAAACAAAAAACAGTAACTCTCTACCCTCTATTTCTATGCTATACCTCTATATCTGGCTCATTAATCTTTCCCCAAGACAAAGAATTGAGCCTTTTTTCCCTAAAAATCCAGAGATGTCTGGATTTGACAAAACTGTCATTAGGCAAACACCCACTAAATAAAAGCAATGTGGAAGCTAAAGAAATTGTACCAACACAGGGAAGGAATCAGACAATAGTGTCAAGTTTTAGCAAATCATGGGTCAGTGGCCTTGTTAAGTATCAATGAGGTGTCTAGGGCTAACAACTAGATGACTGCAAGGAATAGAAGTCCTTCCATTCTCCAGCATTCAGTCAGAACTGAAGCTTCTTGGATGAGAAGTGAAATGTCTTCAAGGAAAAAACAAGAAGAATATTAATAGTTTTTGATGGAATGTAAGTAAGTATGCACTGCAGAATTGTAGAATCAAAAATCAGATGCTGATGAATTTTAAAAGTTTAAAAGATGTCAGAAAAAAGCAATAGCTTTATATCACTTTTAATTCTAAAAATATATTCTAATTATATATTCTATATATTCTAATCTTCAATGATCAGTCAAGCTAACTAAAGGGGCAGGGTGATTTGCAAAAAGAAAACATTAATATCTCCTTCAAAGCACATTACATATACCTTTATGCATTAAAAATGTTTCTACAGAAAAATACAGTTTAGTGTTGCCTTGTACCACAAGATGAATGGCATATAAATTTGACAAATAAGATAAACGGATAGATAGATTTTTGTTTCTTTGCAGGAGAACTGAGCGGTAGTAGTTAATTTTTAAATGATGTGCTTTGTGTTCATATTTCCTGGATATGTTCTCAGGCAACATGACACTATGAATAAGTGCAATAAACTATTACAGATGTCAGCAGTTATTACTTACTTCAATTGCTGCTAACTCTTTGAGCTTGTCCAGATCAGGAAACAGATACCCCAAGATGACTAGAATTTTACTGAGATTGGTTATTGTAACAGTTTTATGAGCCTGGTTGCATTTTCCTTTTCCTTCTTCTTGTACCCCAGGGAGCCAGGGAAGGGCCAGTCTGAGCCTCTTCCTAACACTTTCCCTGTTTCCCACACTCAACCTGTCCTTTTCCACATGTTGCTGTAACAGTCTCTAAGCAGTGTTATCTCCATAATTCCCTACAATGAAAAGATAATAGGGACCACGCCAGAGGCAGCTATGTTTGCCCCACTGCAGAGGTCAGATTTGTTCATCAACCATAGGTACTGAGGGTAACAAACCTGGGGAGAAAGGAGAAGTACTGCTGCCTGATGAACAATGTATCTCCAAGTGTATGCCATTAGGTTCAGCCATAAAAGAGCTCCCTGCAGTTCATACTCCATCACTTAATTTACTGTAACAATAAGCAGTTAGTGTTTCTTCCTGAAGTCTGTAAGACCTTCTATTATAACAAGCTTAAAAGATTGACAGGGATTATGTGGATGATTGCTTACCATCAGTTGCGCACCCAGTGGCGCCATCCTTTGAACAATAGCGCATTTCAATCCTTTGCCTTCCCACATCTAACAAACTTGCATCAGGAAGTCGTGCTTTACAAGTGTATCGGAATCGTTGTTCATAGTGCCCACCATTGTCAGAGATATTCACTGGTGTCCACGGAGTCCAAGGAGTTGTCTTCTTCAGTTCTGGACAAGGGTTGGTATTGCAAGTCTGATATTCCTACAAGAAATGACATGGTTTAATAGAATTTAACAGAATAGCTGAGTTGGAAGGGACCTTGGAGGTCTTCTAGTCCAACCCTGCTCAGGCAGGAAATCCTATACCATTTCAGACAAAAGGCTGTCCAGTTTCTTCTTAAAAACCTCCAATGTTTATGATACTGTGGGATAAATGTATGATGCTGTATGATAATTTGGATAATTAAGATCAGATCTTGTCAACGCTTACAGTCTGGTGACAGACTGTAAATTGTAACAGGGTTATAATATGATTAATATGCAAGCTGAAAGATTGCACCAGATTCAGTCTTCCATGGACCAAATAATCTTGAACTAGAAGCTTAAAAAACATTAACAACTGCAGAAATTATCATTTGGATGCTAACAGATTTACTGTAGGCAACAATGGTTATCTTGCTAACTCCAGATCCAGTGGAAAATAGAATTCTGGTACAATGGAATATACTTTTTATAAAATATAATTTGATGGTCTAATATACTTATCAAGGATATACTTGATTATTTAAACTGAATATTTTAAATTGTATCCACAGTTGTTTTTTAAAAATAAAATCCACTGATACTAGCATAAACATAGCTTTAGAAAATCACAAGCAAATTGCTCCGAAAAGGGAATTTGAAAGGGAGGAAAACTATCAAGACTCTTCTCTTGGATAACCTTGTCCCAAAACATTTAGAATTTGAATGGTTAAAGGTATGTATGAGGCAAACCAGCACCACAAAAGTAAACACCTATAGCGTATGTATGTTACAAATAGCAGTTCTACTGTTCTGTTTATTCCCGCCCTCCTGCCCATTATTGTCAGAGAACAGCAAGGCAGTTTGAAATGGCCCAGGGCTCCAACACAAGAAATTCCATGGGCAGAAAAATTACCTTCCTAATACGTTTTCCTGACAGATATAATGATGAGTTACCAGCGCCATAACCCCTGGCTTCTTTTTAGCTCTACCTCATAGCCCACTCTGGCTTGATACAACTAATTTGGCCAAGTACTTTTCTTCAATTGAAGTTTTCTCAGCATTGGTGAAACTAAACTCCCACCTAACTGTACCCTTCCTCAGTGCCTTGGTGCAATCATAACATGTTTAGAATCGTTCTGGTTTTTATGTGTGCTGTAACCGGCTAGATTAAGAATGGCAGATATCTCAAGTAGTACCACAGCAAGAAAAGGGGGCTAGGGGGAATTCAGCCTTTAATCATTTAGTATGGGCATGCAGGGCATAGCTTTTAAACTAGCTACCCCTGATTAGTAAAAAATGTGATGTTGTAGATTCTGGATTCCTCCTCTACTGAAAAATGTGCCATCTAAACTAATAGTCTCTGCAATACTTAGCAGAATGTCCATCATTAAATACTCATTTTGGGTCCTCAGGTTAGTTGCTCATTTCACAATATTTAATTTTTCACTCTATGTATACAGTTAGCACAAACAGGCTTTATGACTGAATCAAATGAGAGCCATAATTACAGCAGCTAAAATGAAACACATTTCTCCTACATAATATGTGTGATGGTTGACTTCTCTTGGGTTAATGCCAAATCACTCCCCTCAGTAAAAATAAAAAAATCAGAAGAGAAAACTTGCTTTGATCTGTTATGTTACGATAGGACTGCTCTGACCTTTTATTTACCACTCAAATTTAAAGGTTCACTAAGGGAGATCAAAATAATCCTCCTCTGGAAGTCTACAATACAGAGGCCACTGAAAGGTAAAGTGAAATGGAGAATGCTCTTAACCTGTGTTTGTGCGGGCAGAATATAAATAGATTTCATTTATCTAGGACGCTTCTGGTTTTGCTCAGTCAAAAGTACCAAACAATAAGGTAGAAATCCACAAATCAGAATATAGCCCGGATCAGCACAGCAGCAGAACTTAGCAAAACTATAGAATTAATGTAAAAGGCAACTCTGAAATACTGGAACAGTAAAAAAATTCACCGGGCAGACCCAGCTGGTCTCAGGGCAGTCTCCCATGCAAGAGGAGAACTCTGGCAACAGAATAACAGCCACACAAACTTCCATTCTACTGTGTGCAAAGGTGATGCAGCTGCTTTTTGAGATGCTGCATTCATGTTCCCATGTCCTCCACAGTCATTTGGGGGTAATATCTGACGCATGCACAGTTCTAAAAATGATAATATTTGTTGTGTAGTGATGGATTAGTGTATTTCTGAATTCTTCTCTGGGTCATACAACATCACCTTCTCGACTTTATATTAAAGTCCTACAAATATCAAAGCAAACAACGAATGCAGATATTACTCACAACACTGCAACCCGGACAATCTGGACCATTTTCGCATGTTCGGTAGCGAGCCTGAATGCCTCCTCCACACTGGGCTGTACATCGCTCCCATACACCCCAGCCAGTCCAGAACATATGCGGAGAACACAACAAATGCTCATTACAATACCTGTAAGAAGGAAAGCAAGGTCAGATTTAATGTGGTCTTTAGTGTGCTGTTGCATTAAGATGATTTATTAATATAATTGTCTAGAAATGAAAGATAATTCAATTTCAGACATCATCCCCTTTTGAGCTTGGATCAGATAATTCTGCCTTGGATGCAAAAATAAAAACATGATTTGATATTCCTATCATTGTTTAGGTTTTCTTCCCCCCCCCCCCCCCCCCACCCCCAGATGTTACCTTTTCTTTCTTTTACTCCCCTTTGAAAATTATTTTCAGTCTGTTAGGACCATTATGCCAGCAGCCTGCAGGACAGTGCTAGCATTCAGTAGTGTGATCAAGAGATTGCCACAAGCTGTTTGTGATAGGCTTACATTCTGACTGAGCGATCAAGAGGCCTCTCCATTGTGATTGTGAAATAGCTGTTTGGAGCAGAAAAGCTAACACAAATTGACTCAACCAGGTACTCAAACAACATGGCTGCTGCTGCAAGGATGGTGATGAAGCTAGCTCAGTGAAATCTACTGCAACTAAGAGAGCGGAGAAGGGGAGGAGAGGACCAAATAAAGGAACATTATAGGATAATCTAATCTACTCCTTTTTGGGTTTGTTTTTTTTGGAAAAAATGTATGTGCAAAGTTTCTTCTTAGAGAAGTTTCCAATTCCACCTCCTTGAGTACAGGTTCTTCACAGGCCAGGCTGTGTCTTGAGTCAATTACTATTCACCTTGATGGCCCATGACTGCCGTGCCAGGTCTGTGATGAATCGTATTGTGAACTATGCAGATGACATGGCAGTTGTGGGTCTTGTCCAGGATGACAATGAAGATTCTTACAGGGAGGTGGTGGTGAAGGCTTTGGTGCAATAAAAATAATTTGGTTTTGAATATTAACAAAACAAAGGAGATCGTTGTTGATTTTAGAAAGAGCCGGCATAGTCATACTCCACTTCGTATCAAGGCTGCAGCTGTGGAGGGGGTCAATAGTATTAAATATCTGGGAGTACAGATAACCAACAATTTGACTTGGTCTCTTTAGTAAAGCATGCAAACCAGCACCTGCATTTCCTGGGTCGGATGAGAAGAGGACATCTTTCTCCTTCTGTCCTGGCCACCTTTTACAGAGGCACGACTGACAGCGTTTTGACAAATGCATCAGTTTGGTTTGGTGGCAGCAATGCCTCAGATAGAAGGTCCATACAGAGAGTGATAAGGACAGCTGAGAAGATTATAGGCAGCTCACTTCCCATTATTCAGGATGCTGCTTATAAGTGCTATGTGCTTAGAACTTGAAGCATTGTTAGAGACCCCACATGCCCACTTCACAGTCTGTTTCTGTTGCTCCCTTCTAGGAGGAGGCTTCAAAGTATCTATAATAGGTCTACTAGCTTTTGTAACAGCTTTGTTACTTATGCCATCCGTCTTGTAAATTTGCAGAATCTTTTTTGCCACGTACATGTATACATCTGAACTAGACTGTGATTGCTCTCTGTGTCATATATGTGTGTATATGTGGATATATGCATAATGGTTGTTTTGATAGCTGAATGCAATGAAAATTCATTTTAATTTATGTGATTAGTGTACATTTAAAGTGACAATAAAGTTTTTATTCTATACTATTCACCATCTTGTACATGTATAAAGAAACAAAAATAAGGCCCAAACTATGGATACGCATGAATCTTTACACGTTTATTGAGGGCTGGTCTCTAAAGCTCAACCAAGGATAAGAGAGAACAGGTAACAAGGATCATTTGTATATTATCCATACAGCATTCCTCCAAAAATTAAATCTTGTGCTGAACTCTTATTCACTTTTATAGATCTGAGGATAGACCAGAAGTTGCACAATAAAAGGACCTCAACGACTGTGATATTCATATTTAACTACCAAATTTTAACGAGAAGAAAATGCAAATATGTAACATAATACATGATTATACATACAGGTGTAATCAGATTTGACCAAACCATGATGATGAGGTTGAAAAGAAAATCTAGAACAGATTCTTATTTATACAGAATGAGTCAGAATGTGTTCCATCTTGATTTTGGACCTTGACAACATCAGTTAGTTTCTTTGGAACTCCAGTATACTATAAGAACAGTGGTACCCTAGCAGTCACACCTAGAAATAATATTAATGTAAAATGGAATGGGGTGGGAATACTAGATTTGGTCTTCCATCCCATCAGAGTGATCTTTATATTCAGATAAACTATGGCTTCCCCAATATAATGGAAAGATAGAGATCTTGAGTTCTATTATTTGTTCCAGCTTACTATGGGAAGTTTTTCAGTTATGTATGGTACTTTATGAACTCTGCTAGCTAGCAGACCTAGCCAAATGATATTTTTGAGTGGAAATAACCATTGGGTTACTTTTTTCTCCCTCAAACCATTTATCAGTTCCATCATGTTCAAGAAGAGACATCACTAGTTCTTCCAGAAACTTTCTTCTTTCTTACATACTGCAAGGCTACTTATTACAAACTTTTATCACATTCTGTCCTGTAATAAAGTTAGAGGAACAATAGCTTTTATGAAAATTGCCATGCTTCACAATCTTGTGAAGCTCCAATATTTTTTGCAAGCATCTTTTTATTCTGCTGGAAAAAAAAGTGAGCTCAGTAGGCTTGCAATCTTCTCATGCTAAAGAAAAAAAATTGAATCTTTCTAACTCCTAACCCAGGCAAAAAGTAGAATTGAACCACCTCTGACTATATCCAACAATTTATAGAACTCCAGACTGGGCCTCTAAACAAGAAAGGCTTGCTTCTGCATAGCCTTAATTATAACCCCAGGAGGCTCAATGTCACCCTGCTTTCAAGCAGGGCTTTATCAATTTGTGTCACTTATGGATAGCCATGCAGTTTCACCAGTTTTCCATTTCACTCAACTTCATACACAGTTCGGATAGTAATAGCTGACAATTGGGAGCTGGTGCATTCCCAAAGCTCTGATTTTTTTAATATTGTTGAAAAGTGTTTTGCATTTAATAAAACAAGAGGCATGATGCCGGTTTTATTATTTTCCTCCCTGTATGCACAGCACAGAAGTGCATTCCCTGCAGCAAAGAGCAAGCAAGCCCCAGAAATCTCAAATATGATTCAAAGTCTCATTTTAGGAATGAATCTGCTGGAACACAGGAGTCTGAGCAAAGTCCAATTAATCCTCTTGGAAGCATTTCAAGCTAGCAGGTAATGCTTTCTCCCTGCTGATATTCCTCTTCCTGTTTTTTTTTCTTTCTGTTCTCAAAACTCAGAGGATTTATGGTTTGCAAAACAAATAATATAAGAGTATTATGTCTCTGACTGCATAGACGTCTGCACTGACCTTATGTCCAGAAATGATGAGATAGAATTGAGAAGGTGACATGAAAAAACTGTCAAGCAAGTAATATGACCTTTGACATATCCAACAAGCCCTGCTCAGCTTCCAAGGTGGTCAATGGTTTTAAGTAATGAGAAGGAAGAGAGAACAACAAGCTAGTTCCTTCTACTGACATAAGAATAGGAACACCTACTTAGGATAAAATCCTGTTTGTACATAAAAAAGAAAACAGATGTTATTTGGCTAAATAATTTATTACTAACTCTTACTAGGCAAAAGAGTTCTATTTCATTCATCAGAGATCCACAAACTATCCAGACTTTCCTAGCCTGGTTCACTTCTAGTGTGTTGGAATAGCTTGGACCACAGATCCTATCACTCCTAGCAAGAATGTCAACAACCATGCTATATGTATGTCATAACATATCCAGGGAAGCCCAGCCTAGGGATATTTGTTTTCATAAATTAAATCAGTCAAACATAATAAGCATTGTTCCGAATTAATCAGCAATATTTACTTTTTTTTTCCCTTCCACAAATAGTTTTTAATTTTAAAAAGACAGAAAGTTTAAAGACTCAATAGGCAAGGCTCCAATGTTTAATAATGTAAATTGCAATGGACATACTCTTATCTATTTATATCTTAAAACAATAAAATTAGTACTAACTGTGGGGGTAACTGTTATCGGCAATTTGTGAATGGAATTTATACATAAGGTAACAAATTTAGCAATCTGTTTTGACTGTCTGGCAGGCAATGTAAATAGAGATTAGCAGAATGTCCTGAAAATTTAGTTAAAAGAGAGGTAATCAGCTGGCGATGAATGGCCCTAGAATGCTGACAATACAAGGGGAAAAATGACTTGTGGTTTCTATTATACCCATGCTACAGCGATAATATAGTACAATATTGTACTTTAAGGAATGTTCTTATAAAACCTTTCTAAAACAGCTTTACGGAGGGCATTAAAACAGGCTTCATTTAAAACTCTCTTAAATTTAGGAGTAAAATATTGCAATAAATATGAAGCTGGTTTGGGAGCTAAAATTTGATTATTTATAAATACATCCCATGGGAGGACAGCGGTATGACCTTCTGTTCCTTAAGCCTTCTGCCTTAAAGCTAATTTAGCTTGATCTAGCCGTAATGTATTTATATAAAGATTGGATTCAAGATTACTGACTCCTGTTTCTTACACAAAGTACTGTATTCAGGACACACCTGATTTTTACATATTTAGTTTGGTCCTAACTGAACTCTGTAATACAGTTGTAAATCCTTTGATTCAGTGGTACACGACAAACTACTCCTAAAACTAAAATCTTATGGTATCTCTGGATACCTGCATAACTGGATAGGAGCATTCCTGTCAAACAGACAACAAATGGTCAAAATTGGGAGCATCCTATCAAATTCTGTACCTGTCAACAGTGGTGTCCCCCGAGGCGGCGTTCTAGGACCAACTCTTTTCATACTCTACATAAATGATCTCTGTGATCATATTAAGAGTAACTGCGTTCTTTTTGCTGATGATGTAAAGCTGTTCAACACCACTGACAATACTGCTACCCTTCAAAAAGACCTCGACTATGTGTCAGAATGGTCAAACAAATGGCAACTTCAAATCTCAACAAATAAATGCTCTGTCTTACATATTGGCAAAAAAATCAGAAAATAAAATACAAGCTGAATAGTCAAGACCTTGTTGATGACACAAACTTTGTCAAGGACCTTGGAGTACTTGTCTCAAATGATCTAACTGCTAGAGCCCACTTTAACAACATAGCCAAAAAGGCATTAAGAGTTGTTAACCTAATCCTGCGTAGCTTTTTCTACGGTAATATCACTCTACTAACTAGAGCATATAAAACATTTGCTAGACCAATACTTGAATACAGCTCATCAGTCTGGAACACTCATTACATATCTGATATTAATACAATTGAGAAAGTCCAGAAATATTTTATGAGAAGAGTCCCCCACTCCTCTACTTGTAGCAGAATACCTTATGCCACCAGACTTGAAATTTTAGACCTAGACAACCTAGAACTATGCCACCTTCGGTTCAATCTAAGTATAGTACATAAAATTATATATTACAATGTCCTACCTGTCAATGAATATTTCAGCTTCAACCAAAACAATACAAGAGCACACAATAGATACAAACTCAAGGTAAACCGCATCAAACTTGATTGCAGGAAATACGACTTCAGCAACAGAGTGGTCAATGTCTGGAATACTCTACCTGACTCTGTGGTTTCTTCCCCAAACCCCAAAAACTTTAACCTTAGACTGTCTACTATTGATCTCACCCCTTTCCTAAGAGGTCTGTAGGGGGCGTGCATAAGCGCACCAACGTGCCTACTGTCCCTGTCCTATTGTTCCTTTTTTTCTTATTCGTATCCATTTCATGTATTCATAACCATGTTTATCTAATAATTGCTTGACAAAATAAATAAATAAATAAAAATGGCAATAATTCCGTTATCCATTCCTTTTACTCTTTACTTCCCCACCACTCTCTTTTGGAAGACAGGTTTCCTGGGGTTTTACATTCCCCTTAACTCATTCACTCTTTTCTCATACGCCTCTTGACTTCATTTTCATTCATTCTCCATGTGACCAATGCATCTCCAAATGAAGGAGAGGACAGTATTGGGTAGGCTAAATTGATTAATACATTGGCTATTCTTATAATTTCTCACAGCACTTAATTAGTGCATCAATAATTTCCACTGCTTTTTGATCATTTTTGATCATTTTCCACTGCCTTATCATTTTTTTCCTAGTTCTGATCTTTGCCACAGTGCTATGATTCCTATGGAGTCATAAAATGGAGTCTAAAACACTCTTTCCAACATCCCCTCATTTCAATTTTATTCATTTTTTTCTGCATCACTTCATCACTTTTATTTTTAATTTTATTCAATCTACTGGAAACGTCATTAGTTCTCTTCAGCCACTTCCAAAACAACCTATTATAATACATCTTCAGTGATATATTATTATGAAAAATACAAACATAACTGGTTTTTTTATTCCAAGCTGTTTCCACACTTTCTTTTTTTATTTCCACTTTTCACCCATTTTGATGGGAAATTAATGCATTTTCTAATACTTATTCAAATAGGATCCATGCTTTCTCTTCTTTCAATCATCCAACTTTCACTCCAGAGGGTTTTTTTCTTTCTATGTGCATTTTCCCTAAAGATCCACACTTTATACTATGAAAAAATATCCCCCATTTATAACCCTCCATTGCTATTATATTTTTAACATTCTACCAACCTTTCATTGTAAATGATCAGATCTGCCTTACTTTTGTTTTTATATTCATTTTTCCATTTGTTTGTATGAATAGGTTAATGCTTAAACCACATACATGAAATATATTTTTTGATAGAAGTTCTAAGCATATTCATCTTGGAACTCCAAATGACTGTTCATTTGATTGTCTTGTTTTGTTTCAACCAATCTATTCATGTCACACATAAAAATGAGTCATTCCACCTCGCACACACACACACCCAGATTTCATTCTTTTAGGTTGCACAATTTTCTCCAAAACTTATCTAGCCTTTTTTCTTTATCACTATTCACCAGGTATTCTTCTCTTAAGAATTCCTATTTTCAAATGTACTTGCAACTCAGATGGTAACTGTTCATATTTTTTACATATATTTTGCATTCATAATTAAACCTACACTCCTCCCTGCGTGTACCCATCAACTCAATTCCACACGATTGGACTACCTTCATTTAGATCTATTACATCCTTCTTACTCCCTCAGTTTCATAGACACAACAAAATTCTTTTTTTCATTTATTATTTCCTTGTTCTTTTTCCAGATAGTTCCACAAATACTAAGTTCCTTTACCCATCAGGAGTTTGGTCAATCAAGGGTACCAGACAACTTTCTTAATAATATAATGTGTACACTGAATTACCAGTTTTAGTAGTATCTAGGTTAAATGCTATAAGTGTTTTATATTCATGGTAAGGACAGTATCAATCAGCCTGGCATTTTCTGGCCAGGATGTCACAACCACAACTGAACTCCATTTTTTTTTCTGACACATGCTCATATTATCCTATGTAAGCTAGCATTTGTGGACTATCTTGTAATGGACTACATGTTGTCTGTATTTCAGCTCAGAATTACATGCAGCATGTTAACACACAATCAAAATGCATGATGTGTAAAGAAGGACCTTATCTGTTCTGAATTTCCTAAGAATTTGCTTTCATTGGCTTCTTCTCACATCTACACTTTGGGAGACATGTCTTTACTTTATGTCTTTCCAAATTATAGTCGTGTATGTCTTCCATTTATTTACATTTTTCTTAAACTGTATGGCTAAAATGTCCAACTGAGCATACAGCTGTTATTCTTGTGGCATTTTTTGCCCCTTTCTGTGCTCTAAAAAATACATGTACGTATACTCACAGAGATAGAATGAGCAAGGTATAGAAGACTATGCCAGTGGTTAAATTGTAAAATAAAATCTTCAGGTCTGACAATTGCAGCTGGCGCTCTAATGATGAACATCTGAACAGAATACACACTTTTCTCTTAGGTTGAATTCTAGCATTGTAGATGCAATCAAATCTTTCAACACCTCCATTCCCAGAAATGAAAAAAAATGTTTTCTTCCTTTAAAATTGAAATAATTCTCCTTCAGCCTCTATTTAATTTCAGGAAGAAGAAATTTCCAGGTAACTACTGAAACAATAGAAGCATATCTTTACGGCCCCATTATTTTCTATTATTATAGGAAAAAACAGGAAGTGTGTTAGAATATTTTGGTTTCTTTTATCTATGTGTTGTGAAGTAATTATCTCTGGATAAACTTGAAAATGATGGTTAATGTCAGCTCATTTCATCCATGAATGAATGTAATAATTTGCCTTTAAAATTATATTGTTTGATTTACTAAATAGTTACTAAATTGGGGCATCTTCTGGTTTGCAAAACAGTGGTATCAGTTCATCTTGTATTAATTTTATATTTTCTGATGGATGCTTTTCCCTCCCATTCACCTGCAGATTTCCAGATCAGAATAATTCCGTGTTTTATATTCTCCAACATGGATTATCTCCATTTTAATATGTAAGCCTAAAAGTTCTTCCATTTTTTTCTCCTTAATTTTAATTTTATCTGTTTAATGTTAATCATTTTAATGTTGTTTTTTCTTCTATATCCTGTGAGGTAACTCCAGTTATACTCTATTTTTAGAATTAAAGAAATACATTAAAGAAATACAACATGGTAACCCAGATACAAAAAAAAGGGGAAGCAGATGATGGAGATATTAGCCTCTTACCTCTCTTCACGGTTCTGCCCAACACATACACGTCCTCCATAGCGAGGGCTTGGGTTATTGCAGGAACGTTGACGTACTTGAAAGCCTATTCCACAAGTGGTGCTGCAAGGAGACCAAGCTGACCATGGAGTCCACCCTCCATTTCTGTAAGAACAATAGATCATGCTCAGTCATTTCTAGGTGTGCATGTCTAAAGAAATATCTGATTCCACAGGGGGGAAAGCACTTTGTGGGTTACTTGGAGCAAGAACAATAACGATCAACAAAACAATTAAATATCCTTTCATTAACTCTAGAGAATCTCATTACAAAGCCCAAGCAGCTTTTTAAAAATGGACAATCTAACATGGGCTTAATTACATGGTTAGATCCTCTGATCTTCCAGAAAATCCCATTTTTCCCGGTTGAGACATCTTGAGGAAAACCTTTCACAATAAGATTTGTCTAACCGGAAGTATTCTTTTTAATCTTTCCATCACTAAGCAACTTTGCCATTATGTTAAAGTTGTTTCTGGTGGTTGTTTTTGCAATCATTGGGTCATAAGTTGTGCATATTTTGATCTAAACAAAATCACCATTGGAAAAGTCATAAGACAAGATATCATAATTCAGCAAATTACCTATTCTCACATGAGTTTTGATTCCACTAAAATAAAAGAAACATGTGTTTCTGTAATGGGTTGTGAGAATAACTTTGGGAGATTGTAGGAAGAGCCACAATCAGGACAACAGTTGGACAAGAGAGAGCCCACAGAAGGGAAGGGGATAGAGAAAGTATCTCATAAGGGACCCTCCCTAGTTCTCTGGAAAGTAAAGGCAGGGGAGGGTGGAAGCGCTTTCAGACTTTTGTAAGATTCTGTTACCATAACCTTATAATAAAGGTAATATTAATACTCATGTTTTTGGTTTCTAGTTTGGGCTACCTCGAAGGGCTGACAATATTTCAGCTGTATGAACTTTAAACATTTTTTTAAAAAAACTTGAATAGTTAAATTAGAGTTTGCCAAATTTCAGATATGAATATAATTAGAAAATTTTAAGTCTTGGAACTCGTGAAAACTTTTAGTTAATCATATTTTAACCACAGCGAGTTTTAAGATCTTTCTAAGGTAGCAAAGATTTCTCTTCTCTCTTATTGTTTTCTCTTATAATATCAAATGATTCAACATATTTTTAAAACCAGTTCGTATTTGAAAACTATACTTCAGTTTAGAACCATATTCCCCCAATATATTGAACCAAGGGTTAAAAACAGTAGGCAAAATAGTATATATAGGCGGAGTTTATGAGTTCCAAAAAACCCTGTTGTGGTAGGATTGCACTGTATTAGGTAAACAGGTCTGCTATAGTTAATTTAAGACTCTATATTATAGGAAGGGATTTTGAAAGGTTTTTTATGCCACCTCTATTATTTTTATAATAAATAATTGAAAAAGGCGAACAAACTTACTTCCTCCTTCTTCTGTCCTCACCAACGGTGAGATGAGTTGGGCTGAGAGATAGCAACTAACCCAAAGTCACCCAGTTGATTCTTGAAGCCTAAGGCAAGGCAGCACTAGAACTCACAGTCTCCTGGTTTCTAACATGGAGCCTTAAGCACTAGAGCAAATGGGCTCTCTTTCTGTCGTAGTTCTTTGTTTTTAAAAAACTAAGAATTCTTCAGTATTTTAACAGTAAGAAATCCATGTTTAACACTGAGTGTATACTTAACAAACTGCTATGTTCAATCCCAATTCCTTAAAGTCATAAAGTTGGGGATCCAGATCTGCCCATTAATCCAGAAAAGGCAGAATCTGAACATAACCAGAAAGTAAGATTGGATCAAATTGCTGGCAAGATCTATATTTATCCTGCATTAAGTGGGAATGGAATCATTTTTGTGCTTGCTGCTATGTTTGGAGCCCTGATAAGTGGCACATTTTATCACCAGCTGCAGCCAAAATTACTTGTTGTCAAACATACAATGTATGTAATATATATTTTATTACACTAACTTATTTTAGGCATATAAAATATGAAGCAGTTCTACTGTCAGCAATGACCTCCTGGGTCATATACAAATAATCTTCCAAGAATTCAATATTACACTGTTTATTTTACTTTTTACATACCTAGAGCAGTTAACAATCTCAATACTTGACCCTTCACAGTGGCGACCCCCACATTTTGGAACTGGATTATCACATAAGCGTGTTCTACAGAGGCAAATGCCTACACTTGATCCATCTACATGTGTACAAGGCTTCCATTCTGACCAGGAACCAAAATGGCCATCCACAGTCAAATTCCTCTTCTGGAAACCAAAGGAGAAATAATTAATTCTGGTGATCACATTTAAAGTAACAGATAATTGCTGTATAAATAATTACAGATCCAACTTGCCTCACTGATCAAGAGCACCTTGTATCTGGCAACTTTTGTTGGACAAGCACAGCCTTGTCACAATACTCTTAAGATATGCAGTGGAGGATCTTTTTGTAACACATGTATAAACACCTGTATGATCAGTTATGTTCTAACTATGAATTAGCTCAAACTAATTTTAAGTTGGTGTTGCTAGTTTATAAAGCTTTAAACATCTTATGGTCAGGTTGCCCAAGGAATCATCTACTTGCATATGGCTTACCCTGTCAGGGACCACCTCTCCCATTATAAAGCTAATACATACATCAAGGCTTGGTGATGCAGTGGTTAGAATGTAGTAAAATGAGGACCCAGATTGTGGGGGCAATATGCTGACTCTGTAAGCCACTTAAGAGAGGGCTGTAAAGCACTGTAAAGCGGTATATAATTCCAAGTGCTATTGCGAAGTGCTTTGAATCAACCAACTCAAGCTGGGGTCTCTGATGCTCTCTGAAACTGGTTGTTGTCATCAATGTGCTCATGTTACCTAGTTTGGTAATGAAATGTCTGCATGAAAACCACCAAGCTCAGAAAGCACCAAGGACTGCATAGTTCAACCATCAGCAGCAAAATTCTCATCTACCAGTATCAACTGCAGTGTTTAGAGCAGCAGGACAGGACTAGAAGCTTTGCTATCTAGTATGCAAAAAACAACCTTATTCTATCTTGCTTCCAGCTAATGGAATGGTGTCAAGGACCTTCTCCCAGGATTCAGAAAAGTAGGCAAAAATTTCATCAAGCTTTTAATTCTTAAATTGATTTTACAAGTGGTCCTCATTTAACAAATACTTGTTCAATGCCCATCAAATACCCCGTTTTCCCAAAAATAAGCTCTATTCTGAAAATAAGCCATAGCATGTTTTTAACGTGTGTGCCTAATATAAGCCCTATCCCACAAAATAAGCCTTAATTAAGAGCCTGCTCAGCCGGTGCCCACCATTACATCTGGTTATTCACAATGTTGTGACCATGAGGTGAGGTAGGGTGGTGACAGAGCTGCCCCACATGCCCCGCACCAACTTACCTCAGGACCATCTCAGCCAGGCCATCCATGCCCTGACATATGCCTTGCGGTGGCAGCACCAATATCCATGTGCCTATGTGGCCACCGTCCCACTTCTTGCACTTGTGAGGCAAGTATCAGGGTGTGGATAATCTGGTTGCGGGGGCCCTGAGGTAAGCCTGTGTGGGGCATATGGAACAGCTCCACCACCCGCCTTGCAGCGGTGGCATTGGTACTCCACACATCCTCCTGTCCCGCCTGCGAGCAAGCAGAAGTGGGCCTCCCATATATGGAAAAAGATAAGATACCCCCCCAAAAGTAAGGCGTAGTGCTTAATTTGGGGCCCAAAAGAAAGGGGGAAACACAAGTATATGACAGCACTGAATGAATGATAGTTATGACAGAAGGTCATATTTATGATTATTGCAGCATGCCTGCAGTTACATGATTGTTATCTGGGTGCTTGGCTTACAATTACAACATTGAAGAGTTCCTGAGTCATATAACTGCATTCTGCAACATTCTCTGACAGCTCCTCAAAAGCAAAATTGAAGAGAAAGCTGACAGGAAGATGGGGGTCATATGAGGTCCTCACTTAACAACCCACATGGTCCTTGCCCAAACTTACCCAGCCAGCTTTCATGTGACTAAGGGAAGCCTAGAACTCAAAGTCTATTGCTTTCTAGTTCAGCACGTTAACCATAATAATTTTAATATATTCATTGGTTGAATGCTTATATACTGTGTAACATAAGATTATTTATAAGCAGAAAGGCAGGTATAAATTTAATCATCACATTTTTGAGGGCTTGCTGGGCAAGAAAAATACTGAGGGAAAAACTCCTACATCAAGTTGCAGAAATAAAGAATTTGATTGACGCTGACAGAGAATTGAACCTTGTTTCCAGACTGTTTAGCTAAGATTTAGCTAAGAGTGCAATGAGTAATAAACCAAAAGAAATAAAAGAAAAAGATTTGCAAAAGGACCTTGCAACTGTCATGCCACTGGTTGCCAAAATCACAGGGCCTCGCCAGATTTTCTTGCATCTGCAGTCACGAGCTGTGAATACTTGCTCAAACACTAAGTAAGTTAATATTGTTCTGCTTTTCTTGTGCCCTGCTAAGATGCCCCCCACTGGACATCTGGGTGAGGAAATTAAGCAAACTCTGTTAATTGATTGTTTTTAGTGATTTTTTTTCCTGGTTGTACTTTTCTCAACATTGGGCATTTGTTATCTGGACTCTTGGTTTAATTTTATGGTTTTAATTTTTGTATGTTGCTCAGTTAATGCTATGAGGGGGTGTCCATTTCTAAAAAAATAAATAAATAGATAAGCAAGCAAGCTCTGGTTTACTGCTATAAGAACAAGGGGGAACAAGTGTTCAGTTTACATAAGTGCTTCCCAAAATCTTTTTTTAAAGTAACAATTATAAACTTATTACCTAAACATAATAAAGACATTCTGATAAATGGTATAAAAGACTTTCTGATAAGTGGATTTGGGTAATGAAGGAAAAAGCTTGGAAAATAATGGCTTATACAATCCCATCAATCCAGCAAGACCACGAGAAACTCCAAAGATTGTGCTTTTACTTTTAGTTAATTATGTTTTTGTATTGTTTGCATAATGGTTGGTTTGAATAAGTTGGTTTCACAACTTACAGCTTATAACTTATAAAAGCAATTTATATTGTCACCTACCTTTGTTCGGCCAAAATGAAAGTAATGAGGACACTGCAGGGAAAGGTTGATGATGCAATGAAGATACTATAATTCACCAGTGAGGAGATAACCTCTAATCAAGAAGTTTCTTCCAAATAAATTTATGAGGTCAGATGACAAATCATGGTTAAATCAAATGAAAAGTGAATGCTTCTGAAATCTTCCTAACCGAAAGGGTAGGGAAAGTGCACAAGTCTTTATGACTCATTCTCATTATGTTAAATGTGGCTTAATGTGATTTCAGAATAAGGCATATGTATATGATGTATTCCTTCCAATTATAATAATAAAAACATTATTTTCTGTTCATTTTCATATGATTTCTCATAACTCAGAAGAAATTAATGATAGCTGAGCCAGAGTTAAAAGAGTGATGAGATACATTTATTGCTAGCCTATACTATTTCCAAGAGAATGGCTAATCGTAATTAATCTTCCCCCTTAAAAAAAAAACCTACATTCTGTTACAGAAAATTTACACGTCAGACATAAGGGCTCCAGCTAAATTTCCTGACACACTAAATTTCCATGCAAAGGAAGTTCTTACATGGCACAAATGATCATTATGCCCCGAAAGGCAGGCTAAAAATCTGTAAAATAATCCTACAAGAGCTTTAATGGGTAACACACATTACAGCCCTTGGAGGACTATTGTACGGATTTTTCTCCTCCCTGTGACAAAGTTTCAACATTTCACAACAAAACGCTTTCTTCACCTTTTCTCTGTATACAGATACATTTAGGTTTGAAGGTTGCAATTATTATCCTAATAGAGGGAATCTTTTTTCTACTCAGGAGTCACTTGCACCAGCTGAAGCTGGTGAATCATGGCCACCCTGCACGCAAAACTTATTACCAGCTGCCTGCCATGCCAGCTGTCTCAAGGTAGAGACAGCCAGAGCCATCAAATCATTCCAGCGGCAGAGCAACTGTGCTTAGATGCCTACCATCTGTAGATATTATAATTGGGCAACAGAAAGTTGCTTTCTAGATCCCCCTGTATTACTTTTGATTCTGAGGGGCTCAATTACAATAGCTCAGTTCTCTGTTTTGTCATTTGACACCTATACATCAAAAAGAAATTCAGTGTTTCAAGTGAAAACAGGCTCTTAAACATAGAGAGCCTGTGTAAGGTACTGAAAGTGGTTTCCGTACATATTCAGACCCCTCACATCCCGGACATAAACTGTTTCAACTCCTACCCTCAAAATGACGCTATAGAGCACTGCACACCAGAACAATTAGACAAAAGAACAGTTTTTTCCTGAACACCATCACTCTGCCAAACAAATAATTCCCTCAACACTGTCCAACTATTTACTAAGTCTGAATTACTATTACTATTACTCCTCCCATCCTTCCTTTCACCCATCTCCTCCACTTATGACTGTATGACTGTAACCTTGTTGCTTCTATCCTTAAGATTTTTATTGACTGTTTCCTAGTATGATTTGGTTGCTTATTGTACCCTATGACTATTATTAAGTGTTGTACCTTATGATTCTTGATTCTTCATGAATGTACCTTTTCTTTTATGTACGCTGAAAGCATTTACACTTAGATAAATTCCTTGTGTGTCCAATCACACTTGGCCAATAAAGAATTCTATTCTATTCTATTCTATTCTATTCTATTCTATTCTATTCTATTCTATTCTATTCTATTCTAT